TAGTAGCTGTAACAGTCAAAATGAGTGTGAAACATTGTTGATGTTGGCTTGTTGCATACATTTATTACAAGAACAACAATATAGAGATGGTAAAAGGTTCTGTTGACATGATCGCAACATTAATCGTCATAAATGAGTAGTAGTATGCTTTTATGAAGACGAAGAAGAAAAAAGAAATTCTGATTTTTCAAACAAAAAAAAATTTATATCGTCATCTTTCAACAACAAGCTTTCAAAGGTCAAATGCCAATGTCTAGATGTGTATATATAGACAAAAAGTATGATCTCCTCCTTTAAACAAATAATAAAAGACAACTGTGTGATAGATACGTATCGAACTATGTGGATGTATAGAATCATCATCTATCTCTTCAACATTTCAACTATGCCATCATGATCAATCATATACTGCTTGTATGTTATTCCAGCATACCATTAATAAACAACGACAACAGAGACAATATATCTTTGTCTTCGTCATGAACTGACTAGTTTCTTCTTTTGACCGATACTAGAGTATATAACGGTGTGCATACTGTTGACAAGTAAGAACACAATGGACCTATACATATATCCATACATGTATCTATAAGAATATATATATAGCCTATCGGTTATCTCATATAAATATATAGAGTATCGATTCTAGATGAATGTCAAGAAATCTATATAGAAAGATGATGTTTTTAGTCAGTCAATCCAAGAGAAGATTACAGTAAAGCGAGTTATTCTTTATTTGTTAACTAGGTTTTTTTCTTCTTATTTTCTGTCAGTAAGCTTACGGAAGATTAATCGTTAAAGAAGAAAAAAAAAATAACAACAACATCGACCACAACAACAAAAACAACAAGTACATGTTATTCTTATTGAAGCAAAGACGAATGATGGCAATCGGGCGTGGCTATATAAGCGCGAATGCATGACACCTTAGAGAGATCTAATCACTATCATCAATGAACTGAGAATTTTTCTTTTTCTCATTTTTGATGTCTTGCATTTCAAATTACTTTAAAAAATATATACAATAAGGCCTAGTAGGACATGCACGAACTCACAAATACATCGGTTCGGCAACATTATATCCCATCGGACGCATGATCTTGTTACAACAAAAGGCCTTGTATAATATAGTAAATCTATCACTAGATATATATATATATATATATATTTGCGTTAATTTTGATAGTCCTCACACGTCTCATTCATTAACCATGCACACATGCCCATAAATTCGCTAGCGTTGTTACGAGAACGAGAATTGTGCATGTATATATGTCTCGCCCCCTTACTTTTGGTTTTCTTTCTCACATACACATACTCTCTCTCTCTCCTTCCCATTGTTTATCGGTGTAGTACGTGCCTGAAAAATGAAAGTGATTTCATCAATACACGCCGCCCATTCATCCATCATCGTCGATCGTCATCGTCAGTGACATCAGTTACAGATCATAATATTTGTTTGAATGCACACAAACTTGTATATGTGTGAGAGAGAGAGTGAAAGATATTGTTACCGAGTCTGATTTCGCTGCAGCTACGTTTACTATACAAAACTACTTCTATCAGAATCAGCAATAATATTTCTGTTCTGTTATTGTTACGAATATTCTGTATACTAATCTCTCTCTTTTTCTTGCTAAGTATTTGTTGTAATACAATCTGCACAACGCCTGTTTGCTTGTCCTTCTCTCACTCTCACTCTAAGCTTATTGATACGCATTAAAGTTTGCAAGTACGCAAGCAAACAAGCTATCGTGTATTCATACAAAAAAAAAATCAACTGTCTAACTGCTTGCTAATGCCATTGTAGTCCAACGGCAGGAGACAATTGTGAGAATGATAGAAGACAATCTAAATTTCTGTCCATTAGGCAATTCAATACATATAGTATAGCAGGGAATTGTAAGTTGACCTTATTTTCGGCAATATTACTTTCACTAGAAATTTCCATTACCACCATCATTTATGACGATAATGTTGATGATAATAATGAAAAAGAACAAGAGACAAGAAGAAAAGAAACTAAGATGAAGAAGAAAAGAAATAACGACCTGTTATCATCTTTACACAGAATATACAAAAGCAACAAATGACATGGAAAGTGTCATTAGTATAGACAACAAAATTCAAGAGATAGCTAATGTATTTGACGAACACCTTTCTTGGTAAAGAATCAGATAACTAAAAAGAAAAAAAAGAATTCGAGATGATCTCTCAATTAGATCCACCAGAAAACAAAGACAACACTTGAAAATGAGAAACAAAAAGGGATTATTATTTCTACTTAATTGGCAACTCGATCTAAACGATAATGAAATGCTAGTATTTAAGAACAATAATTGTATTTATTATCAAATCGATAAAAACAAGGATATTATGTACATTTTGCCTACATTTAGGTCTTTCTTTTTTTCCTATTCTCTTGTAATATATGTGTTCTACATTTTTATAGATGTCTTATCTTATATGCGAACTAGAACAATAGTTATTCTTCTTGTATTGCCATATTTCTAATCATCATCGCTGTATGCAATTGGCAAAAGAGCAACAGTGTCAGTGGGAGAGTGTGTGTGTGTATGTGTTAAAGAGAAAGGGTGCAAGAGAGATGAATAATGGTATAAAAACAATAGCGCCTAATTACCTATTATCATCGGCCCGGAAACGACGACGACGACGACGGCTGCTGTTTTGTTGCTGTCAACTAAATGTACACAAAAGCGATAGCAGGCGGATGAAAGTGAAGAAGGAGCAGCACAACGACAAAATGCTACTATGATCACAGAGTTTTTTTCATAGCTCTTTATACTAGATATATATAGAGAGAGCGAGAGCACTGATGATGATTGTTGTCATTCGAGCGAGGGAGAGAGAGAGAGATAGAAGTCAAGAAAAGAAGGAAACAAACAGTGTAAGAGAAGAGAGGGAGAAGGGAGCAAAGGAGCGAAAGAGCATCATTTGACGATCGATGTGCATGATTGTCTTACCTCAAAAACAGACAAAACTCTAAATGATTAGACTTATGAGTTATTCCATCTGTATATGTATAGTTGACAATTGACTCTATTTAGCAAAGTCAAACGACTCGGCTGCTGCTACTACTCTTGTCCATCTTATGCGATACTTCAAGCGACAGTCTTTGTTCTATTCATATATTCTCGCACTGGCGCTCGATTGCATCTTCCGTAGTAGTAATAGGATACTATCGTTACCGGTACCACCACAGCTGTTACTTTTGCTCGAATTCTTTTCTCCTCTTTTTCATCCTCAAATTGACAGTTGTCACGTCGTTGAGACAATATGAAAGTTTATGTGAAAATACAACAAAGAAAGAAAAAAAAAAGAAAGTTCTGTCAAATCCTTGCCCATATGTGTTTTATACAATGAAAGATCGAATTGGTGTGTTTACTTAGTATGCCAATCGATAAACACTCTTCTATATACAATCATCTATTGTCGGATACTAGCTAAGCTATCGACTGCAACGATAGAGCAGAACGAGAGAGAGAGAACAAGTGCTGCTCTCATCCATACTATCGATTACAGATCTTCTTGAAGGCATATTTCGGCTTGTCTTATCCTTCATGCCATCGTGAATTCTTTTTTTCTCTCTCTTCTTGTTATCTCATTGTACAGTAAAGACAGCAGAAAACAGAAAGCGGTGCCAATGGCCTTGAGGCTATATGCATACTACCATCATTGCGATGCAGGATGTTATATGCTAGTTGAAATATTCCTGGCGGCACTTATTCTTGTGCAATTCGATCTCTTGAAAATCGGTCATCGTCATTGTCGTCATATTTAGCTGATGTATGTATAAACGTTGATGATCAAATCATAAGTGCATATTTATTTCTATAGGCACATAAAAAAGAAAAGAATGTCAAGAGAAATAAGGTACCTAACGTTGTCATCGGTCTCTTTATTATATGGACAAGCATGCACATCAATTGAGAAAAAGATTATATTACATGCTAGTTCGCCTCCATCATTTTTCCCATAATTGTTATCGTGTCGCACATTTCGATGAGAGATCAACAGGACAAATGATCTATATCCTTGTGCGAAAGAAGAAATATTATAAATGTTATTTTAAACTAAGATAGATGAATGGGATGAAGATTGGCGCACATATGTCTATGTGTGATGATCATACAAGTAGGATAACTTGACAGCGACACCAGATTTCCTTTGAACAGTTGCGCTTATACGTACATTTATAGATATGTGTATATATCTATCTATCTATCTATATAAATATATATAATATTATCCATTTCTTTTCTTTTAACAGTTGTATACTAATTTGTGTCACTCAAATTCGCGCGTGCACAATGGCAATCCATTCAACTCGTAGCCACAAACATATAACCATCATTCGATATATCTGTACGCACTCATTAGCTGTCTGTCAATGAATGACATAATGGCAATGGGAGAGAGAGAGAGAGGGAGAAAGCTAGATAGAGAAAAAGTGTTGCTCTTATCACAAGACACTTTGTGCACGATGGTCGATGTATGGAACAAAAGCGATCGCGTTTCTTCTCTCAATTAAATCTGTATGCCTGTATGCGACCTAATCTGTATACCCCTGGTGAATGAGAAGAAGAAGAAAAAAGAAGATAAAACAATAACAACAATATTGAGCATATGCATATACGCGATCAAGAGGGGATAGATTCTATATCTCTTGTTGTCTATAGTATTTTAGCTTATGAAGACTCCTATTGAGTTACGAAGACATTCCCAATTCGATCTGGTATATAACATTTTTTTTGACTGATTATTCTTCTAAAATATCTCAAGATATATTGTTTTTCTTTCTTCAGTATGCTGTTCGTTGATAATATCAAGAGTATATTACAAATCAATATTGTTATCTTATTCATGTATTTATCAACAAAGTAGAAGAGATTAAAGAATTATGTTTCTTTTTTTTTCTTTAATTTGATAAAATTACGTTATTTATACAAAAAGAAAAAAAGAGAAAAAAAAAGACGATATTAACTAAGAATTTTTTGTGGTGAAATCATTGTTAATGAATCTCTTCGTTGTGAACGAAAGGATTTTCCTGGTAAAAGTCCATTAGGTGATCTTTTTTGTGAACGTCTTGTTAATATCGATTGAGATTCGTCTTCAAATAAAGGTACAACAACAACAGGACTTAAATTAGCTTGTTCAAATTTTATTTTCATTTCTCGTGTTACTTGATGCATTGAACGTGGACGTAAATCAATGGTTGGTCGTTGACTTTTTTGACCATATGAATATGTTGCTTTGGATGATCGAAGACGATTATAATTGGTATTATTATTATTATTATTATTATTATTATTTAAACTTGTTATAATTGCATTAGCATTTATAATATCAGCTGTAGAACGACAATTACTTGTTGAACATGTTGTACAACCATGTTTACAACGATGTTGATCACGTGTATTTGATCCATTTGGTATTAATGGTTGTCTTGTCGGAGATGATTGAGATGGTATTGTTGAAACAATACGTTTATACAGATGATAATCTTGACCTGGTGCACAATTTCCAAGACATGTTACACGTTTACATTCATTACAACGTAAATCACGTTTTAATTCATTTAATTCTCGAATTTCTTTTTCAGTAGTATTCATTTTTGATGAAATACTTCCAGTGAAATTTGATGTACTTGCATCTAAAGATGTAGTTTTCATTAAACGATTGTATGTATTTAAATTTTGACGACGTCTTTGTTCCCATTTGATTGTATTAGCTTGTAATCTAAATTTACACTAGATTCTTTTTATATTATAAAAACATATGTCAACAGATAGTGTCTTATTTAATTTTAATTAAAAATATAAAAAGAAACAAAATTTAATTGAAAATAATTTTATATTGCTTGTTTCCAAAAGGAAATTTTTTAGAATAAAAATTAAACTTTTTATAGTAATGTTCAGATAAATGTATATCTTACCTCGCCAATTTGATACATTTTTCAAAGACTGCTTTTGTGTTAGTGCCTTGTTCAAATTTTGTTTTAACGTCTCGATAAAAATCTTTTATATTCCATTCATTATATCCACTATTGGTTTGTAATTGTGATTGTAAAGCAATAGCTTCATCATATTCCTCAGTAAATGGATTTTTATAATCATACATAGGTGTTGAAGAATTAGGTGTTAAATCAAATGTATATTGATCAATATCTTTTTGACGTTGTCGGATAGCTTCTTCTTCTTGTTCAACAATACGTCGTTCAATTTCTTTTGGATCTTCACATGGAGTTTTTCGACTAGGTATATTAGCTATAGCTTCAATACGTCCACTTTTAGGATCACGATACCATGTACCAAGATTTGCCGTATGTTGAAAACTGTTTGTCTAATAAAAATATTGGACAACGAAAAATCTTTGTTTTTTATCAATTCAAATAAATTTTACTTTATTTTCGTCTTGATAACTTTCAATTGTTTCATTTAATTGTTTTTTTTCTCTAGTAGTTTCAACAGTTAAGGTCATAGTAGATAAATCAAGAAAACTATCACGACTAGTATCAAGTTGTTCAGTCATTGTTTCATTTGTATTTGAACATAATTGATGAACAAAATGGTTATCACTTTTGAATATTGATGATTTAAGTCCATCAGTAAGATTAAGAAATGCTGAATTTGTTAAATTATCAAAATTTCCTGATGCATCAATATAACGTGGTGCTCGTAATGGTGCTGGAGGTGGTGGAGGTGGTGGAGGACGAGCAGGTATAGCAGATTTTAATTTGTCAGTATTTATTCGACGTGGACGTTCTTCAATCATTACAGGAGCAGTTGTCGGTCTATTAACTTCAATAAGAGTTGACAAGGACAATTTAACACGTTCAGGTGCTGATGTCGGTGGTCGATTTCTATTATCATCATTATCGAAGATTATTTTAAATAGACATTATTATCATGTATATTTTTACCCTTTTAGTACTGATTTTGCTGTTCCAGGTCTACTAGCATTATTGGATAGATTTTGATGCCAACGAGATGAAAAAATTTCACCATTTTCATTTAATATTTGTTTTCCATCATCACGCGTAAGCCCTTTAGCTAACTATAAGAAATATATTTATTACGATTATTGAAAGCTATGTTTTCGCTTTATTTTTTGTGGCTCTAACTTGTTAGGAATCTTAAAAAACACTCATCAGATTCGTTTTTTAGTTTTCAATCTTCTTTTTATGTTTTTTTTAAATCTAAAAGAAACAGTTTAAAGTGTACATCAGAAGTAAAATATGTTTGTTTTGAAAAACAAATAGAATTTTACGTTCTAATCTTTACTTTTCTTCTTTTTTTTCTCTCTCTATTCGAAAACATCCATCAGAAATTGTTATCGATACATAAGATTTTATATTGGTAAACATGTTTCATCCATTATTGTAATTTAACATGGTTGTTTTTTTAGTTTAACAAATGGATAAAACTTAACATGATAGAGACTTTCTTATGTAATGCACAATTTAATAGATTGATACTTTCTTTTTCTTTCATTTTTGAAGGCAAAATTTAATTGCAACTTACAGCTGTCATATAATCTTTATTTTCTCGTGTTATTCTTGAATTTTGTGGATTCCAACTGGTTGCTCGCTGAAGAAAAGAAAATAAGTCATATATATATAAATATATAAATAATTGCAAATTGTACGAAAGTCTAGGTTTTTCATTTTTCAAAAATTTGACAAACACACCTTACAAAGTATGCCAACATCACCGGGATAATATGACCAAAATGAATCTGGTTGTGCTTTTACACGTTGCCCCTGAACTTCAAGTGTATCATTGGGTAAAACATTTACAGCACAAACAAGACCTGGTTGTTGCATGCTTACATAAAAGTGTGTTCGACTTGTATGACCGTCGATCATCTTTTCAGTGTATTCTCAGTCAATCTGTGTATGATGGCAAACATATTTCTACTACAAATGAAGCTCGTTCTGTTAAACAAACAGAATAACTTCTTTTTTAATAAAAAGAAAGAATCGAGATGAAAAACGTTTTTGTTCTCTTATGATTGGACTTGCCTTTTTCCTCTCACACACACACACACACTCACTCATTCACTCACTCCTTCTTTTCTTTACACGTGTAGATTTTTATTAAACTGCACATCTGACCGCGTCGTTTGTCGGAGTAGATATGTGTTAATAGAATAAAATTTTCATTTTTTTTACAATTATAAAGACATATAGAATGAAGCAAAAAAAAGAAAGAATAACAACATTAGTAACTATTTGTTAAAAAACCGAATTTTTCACTTACGATATTCACAATGGACAAATTATTGTTATTGGTGTTGTTAAGAGATACTAATGATGGTATTCGAGTTAATATAAGTAATGTACGTGCACGTTCATGACCAATATTTGGTGTTGATGGTCGAGTTGTTGGTTGAGAGATTTGTTTTATTTTATCAGCATATTTATTACTACAAAGTATAAAATTTCGATCAGCTGCCGAACGAATACGTTGATATTCATTTAGATGATTTTGACGATCATTTTGAAATTGTCGAACGTACAACATTTATTTGGTTTCTTTTTTTGTCTTTGTTCAATTGCTGTTATTTTATAACTACTTTAACTAATTTTTTTCATACTTTTTATACAATAAGTATTAATAAGAAAAGAGAAATCGGCATAAATTGATCATGCAATTCTCGTTCGATTTCTCTCTGTCTATTTGTGGCGTTCTTATATATCACAAATATATGAAATGACGTCTTCAAATGAAAGAAAATACTTCGATTTCTTTTTTTTTGTATGTCGTATTTACTTTTAAATCCATCTGTTAGGATCTTTTTCGTTTATTTATCTATATCGTATCGATGATGTGAAATACTATTAAGAATAATAAAAGAAAAAGAATAGAAAAAATGTAAGGCAAAAAAAATATTGCATTGATGAAATAGATTATTATAAATATACAGATTTGATTTCTTCAATAAATATTAAAATTAGTGTTAGAAAATTTTCAGAATCTCAAATGATGACAAAATTAACATAAAACGAAGGTGAGATTTTATTCATTTTTTGTTAACGATATTCTGGTGCATCGATCATGATCGTTTTTTTGTTCAAGTTGAAGATTCAAATTAGAATGATTTATTTTTTTTAATAGCCCCATTAAAACAATTTTTTTTTAAAATTCCAATCGGTTGTTTTTCAAGGAACCGTTCAGATCAATAATTTCTGCTTGTCCTCGATTCTATTGTTGAACATTGACTATGTTTCTAATAAGATTGATTGTGTTCTGTTTTTATTGTTGTCAAAACAGTACCGATAAAATGAGTCACTTCGTATGGAAATAGTCTATTATGTTGATGTTATTCTTATTGAAAGATTTTTTGTTCAGCAATAATTAAAGTTCTGGTTCAGTGCGTTATATCTTTCATGTATTGCTACAACATAAATGAATCATATTATCGCATTATATAACACAAGTCTCTCTCATTTTCTTTTCATCAGTTTTATTGTTTTTTTTTTTTATCAATCTTGCAATAGTATTGTTTCAAAAACCAGGTGGCTCCTATAATCAGAGCGATTCATACTTGAATTTAATCAATTGAAAAATCTGCACAGTTTGACATTCTGAATGAACATGATTGACATAGTCAAGTATCAGTCCTTGTATATTGTAATCAATTGCCAAATACACTTATTTGTCACTATACGCATACGGATATTGATAGAAATCAGTATCGAGACGATAATGATGAATGAATATTACGGAAAAAAAATTCCATATTTTTATTGAAATCATAAAACTGAAAAACTAAAATTATAATTTTTTGTTTTCAAAGTCCTAACATATACTCCATGGTTGAGTCATTTTTAACAGTGGTTCTCGTGAAAATTGTCTCATAGGCATAACACTTCCATAACCACTATCATAAGATTTTTTCTTCTCATTTTCGTTTTCTTTTTCTTCTTCATTTTCAGTAGTATCATCTAAATCAGTATCTTGAAAACTTCCAAATGAACTTGATATAACTTGTGTTTTACTTGCATCATCATCATCATCGTCATCATCATCAATATTCATTGATAGTTCATAAGTCATATAATGATTTTGACATTGACAAAATGTTTTCATTAACCGATCTGATTTATTATTGTCTCCATAAAGTAAAGAATAAACTTTGTTATAAGGTATTAATAATGAACGATTAAATGTTTTATGAATAGAATCTAATGTTGATAGAACACGATCTATTTCAGCTTGATCATTATCTAATATTTGTTTTTGATATTTTAAATTTTTCCATGTTGTTATTGTTGCTGTTGATGATGATTTTTCAATATATTGTTTTTCTCGTTGTTGTAAATAAACTTCAGTTCGATATGTAAAATTACTTGTTCGAAGATTATCATTATTTGATTTAGGAATACAAGCAATAGTTGATCGTGATTTACTTAAACTAGTTAATGATTTTTTTTCATAATATGAATTTTTACGACGAATATATTGTGATGTTGAATTAAATTCCATATGTATATGAAGAAGAAATAACGAATTAGTTGATATGAGAAGAGCTCATATGTAGGTTTTTTTCTTTTTTCTTTTTTAGCGATGTTAAATGTACATCAGCTGTATGTATCTTTCGTTTTTCTTACCTTTAAATAACGAACGATTGCGATTGATCGTTACACATGAGAACACTCGCAAGCCATTCTTTCTAATGATTGAAGAAGACAAGAGATAGAAATGAAAGACAAGGACATTGATAAAATATCAAAAGGAAATAATTAAAATTAAATGTAATACAATTAGATATTTAATTATCGTGTAAAAGAAAATTTTAGTTGCTTTAACCTATCTAAGATATAATTCAAATTTTCAATAATTGACTATAATGATGAAGTCAAATCATGTTTGCATTTGGTTATAACAAAATCGTTCTTTACGACAAAGAAGGCTAAACGATTATACTCTCTAAACAGACTCACAATTAAAAAAAAGACCTTTGTATAATAAAAATAGCATCACATATGAAAAACCTCTTTCATTTTATCGATAGATTTTATTTCTTTTTCAGTTTTAATTAATTGTTTGTTAATCAAAGAAGAAAAATGCACTTTTTTTTATAAGTTATTATTCGAAAAATAAAATAAAAGATCACAAAACTAGACTCTATAGATTAATAAATAGAAGGCAGCAATTAAGTCAAGTTAAAATAAATTATAAATGTTTTTTCTTTTAATCATTGATTATTGTTTGTTCCATAACGACGATCATGAGCTATATCCAAACTATCAACGGATATTTTATCTTTTTCTAATGATAATGTTGAATCATGAGGTAACGATGAACTAGTATTAGGATTTGGGGATGATTCATCTTGATTTTTTTTTAAATTAAGTTCTGCAATATCATCATCGTCATCTTCAGTTGTTGATAGTTCAAATTTCGGTTGTGAAATATTCGAAGTTCTGTCATCTTGATATTCGTCTGCAATGTTTATTGACGATGATAATGATGATGGAGATTGTACTAATGGATGTTGTTCTTCTTCATGAATCAGTGTTTCATCTTGTCTATCAGAAATATTTGATTGAGTTACTAGTTTGTTTTCTTTAGATGGTATTTCGTTTTTTTCATCTGTTTCTGCTGATGTTTCTGTATTAGTTGTTAATAATGGTTCTTCTTGTGCATTAATTCGTTCATGTTGTTGTTTAATTGGTTCACGAATTATTTCAAGAGGAATTGTTTGTGTTGATGAGGAAACATTATTTGATATAAATGTAACATAAAGACGGCTAACTCCAATACGAGTAGGATAAAGTTTAATATGTAATGTTGTTGATTCTTTAGGTGCAAATGATCGACTAGAAGAAAAAGTTATGGTGTTGTTTTCTTTTCGAAATACAAATTTCTAGAGTATATCGATTTATGAATTATATGTTCATAATATAAACAAATTTTTTGAATGAAATATGATTTGTTAACAAGAAATTTAATAGAGTTCGATATAAATCTTTATTATTATGAACTTGAAACTTTTTAAAGATGACATAGTTAACAAATTAAATAAAAACTTACTTAACATGAACTATTTGATTAATACCTAAACCATCAATATAAATTTGTCCACTATTTATTGGACGTGAAAGAGTATTAGCAATTAGTATTTTAAGTAATACTGGTTTGCCTATTTCAATGACATCTTCATCAAGAATCTAATAAAAAGAAAGAAGAAAAAGAAATTTAAATTAAATAATAGACCAAAATGACCTACTGGTTTAATAATATCATATTTATTGAAGACAATATTATCATCACGTGTAAATGTTTGATCGGTTTCTTTGATTAATGAGTGTATATAATACTTAAGAATGATATTTTCTTGTTTACCATAAGACGCATATTGTTTACTGGTAACTTTTAATTGGATATGATCATCTAAAATAATATAAATAAACTAAATAATAATTGGATTTTAAAGAATGAATTTCTACTTTTTTCAGCTTCAAGATTTAATGTTTGAACTGGTTGATCATGTGAGACAATTAATTTTTGATCATTATTACTTAATATCGATATTGTTAAAGCTGTTGCTATTGTACGTATTTCATTTGATTTATTATTTGCATTTAATTCGAATGTAATATCATCTCCAAACTATAAACAAACAAACAAACAAAATATTTTTCAATCATCTTAACAATTAAATTTTACTTCAATATTATCTGGTATTTTTAATTCAATATCAACGTCATTATTTATTCGTTCAGGTATATTATCATATTTATTATATGTTTTCATTAAATTTTTATAATTCTTTGTTATATCTGATGGTTCAAATTCATTATCCAATGATCGTGTTATTATTTTAGTACCAACTATATTTTCTTGTACATCTAATTAAATACAAGAAAATATTGTTTTTTTTTTTGAAATTTAAAAATAAAATTTATGATCTAACCTAATAATTCCATATGACCATCTGGATAAACAATCCAATGTGATTTTTTTCCATTGATTGTTGAATGAATAAATGGTGAATCCCATCGAAAACTTAATTTATCATTTTTTAAAGATGATACTGAACATGGACCTGTACGTCGAATACCATCACACATTTGTACTGGTGTTGAATCAACAATTTGCCAATCTTGTTCATCATTAGGTAAATCATGACGACGCATCCAACATTCATTCCATACATGTGAAGAACTAGAAAATAAAAAAAAAATATTCTTCATAAAATTCTTTTCGTTTATAATCTTCTAACCATATTAAATCAAAATTAAGTTTATGTAATGGTCGTTGTTTTGTATCCCAATGAGTATCATTATCTTCAGTACCATCGGTTTGACAAGCTGCATTATAAATTGTAACAATACGACATGGAATACCTAATGAACGACTTAAACTACAAAGTATAGCTGCATGTTGCCAATTATTTCCACAACCACCTTGTACTGATCGACAATTTGATAAAAGATATTGTTTAAATATACCTGTACTACTTGTATATCCATGATTTTCTGATGAATAAACTTTTGTATCATATGATGATGGAAATATTCCATTATTTGTACCTGGATTTGAGCAAATTTTTGATGAAAGTATACGAATTATAATTGATGGATCAATACGATTTTGTGCTGGTAATTTTGCTTTATCAAGAAGTGTAAGTGCAGTAAGTAATGTTGATCGTTCAAATTGACCAAAATACCATGGTATTGGTTGAGGTTTATTCGATGTACCAAGATAAATTTGTCCATGTTCATTCATAACATATTCATTTATTTGTTCAGATGATGATAATGCACATGCATCATCTTTATTCCATGGATTAAAAAGAAAATAGAGATCAGCTTCAATTAAAAATAATGTAGGATCTTGTTTATTTAGAAATTTTTTATCATCGTTCTTCGATGGACACACTTCAAGTAGTAACTATGAAGGCAAAGAAAATTAATATTAAAATTTTCTTTTTTTTTTTTTTAATTTATATCAACTTACAGTATATTTTCCAATGATAGCATCAGAAGGAGAATTAATTTGAAGCGAAATACAATTTTTCTTCTTCGTTTTAACATCATCATCTTCAATTGGAATACTTTTAGCTGACCAACCATTACCACTTGGTGTTCCATCAACTAAAAGTCTTATTTGTGTTCGTTTTGATATCATAGATCGAGGACCTATTTAATAAGAATTTAATTCTATATTAAATTTTCTTATTAATTAATCTACCTATAGCTAATCGAATATATAATTGATTTTGTTCAATATCATAATCTTTATTAAACGTTACCGTAAATGAAAATGATTGACCACGTCGTAAAACCAATCCTGGAATATCGTAATGATTTGTAGAATGTTCTTCCATATTCTTCTGTGTATGTAAATCAACATCGATAGGAATTAATTTGAATGCTAGAATAATAATATTAATTTTTTTTTATTCATAATTATTAAAATATTTTTGATTTTTTTAAAATGAACCTGAACTAAATGAAAAGATACATCATTAAGATTGAAGTCATGAAAATAAGAGTATATGTTAGTAATATGAATTGAATTTAACATGCAATAATATTACATCAAATTGATCTATATATATATGTGTACCTATGTGTACCATTTATGTATATAAAAAAAAAACAAAAAACAAACACAAAAAAAGATAAGTTTACATAAGAGAACTTTGTTATACTATTTAAAATTTTGTGAAACTTTGAAACATGATTCTCGAGAAATATGTCGTCTTGGCAGTACACTTTCGTAACCACTATCATATGTTTTTTTCTTTTCTTCTTCATCTTCATTATAGTCTAAATCTGAGTCTGTATCTTCAAAATTTACAAATGAACTTGATATAGTTTGTATATGATTATCATCGTCTTCTTTCCTAAAATGATTTTGACATCGACAAAATGTTTTCATTAAATGATCTGATTTATTATTATCTCCATAAAGTGAAGAATAAACTTGATTATAAGGTATTGATGCTGAACGATTGAATATTTCATGAATAGAATTTATTGTTGAAAGAGCACGATCAATTTCAGCTTGGTCATTTTTTAACATTTCTTTTTGATATTTCAAAATTTTCCATGTTGTTATTGTTGCTGACGTAGATGGTGATGACGTTTTATCAATATTTTGTTTTTCTCGTTGTTGTAAATAAACTTCAGTTCGATATGTATAATCATTTAAAACTTTTGGAACAATGTCGAATTTATTAACATGAACAACAAGTGAAGGATTAGATGAATTTTTTTCACGAGACAGATTTTTCTGATAACAATGTTGTGGACTATGGGCGTACGCCATCTCACACGATCTATATCAAGGTGTGAGTTTATTCTTTCTTATTTCTTTTTCTTTTTGCTATACGCCTACACACTCATTCTTTTATGCGCATCAATAGGTCTTTTATCGACAGTATCACTCATTTTTACCTATATTCTTAACGATAGGTGATCGATTGATCGTTACACATGACAACGTTCGTAAATGATACATTTTTGACAGTGAATAGAAAAAGACAAGCGATAAAACGTATGTGAAAATAAAGCAAATTTTTTTGTTTAGTATTTCGTTGATACAAATTACGATTTACCTAATTCAGATAAGATTGAAGGTCGTTGTAAGAAGAATGGTCTATATATGTAAAAAGAAAATTAAATAAAGAAAATATTTTTATTTTCGATTAGTAACTTACGTTGGTAAAGAATTTTGTTCATTTGTATTGTTTTTTGAATGAGATATATATGACTCATTCTGAGGGATTTGAACAGATGATTCAAAATGATCCATTGGATTATTCATATTTTGCATAAAATATGATGCCATTTTATAGTGAAAACTTAGAAAAAAAATGAAAAAGAAAGATATATTTTCTTTCTTTTTTATTTTTCTTTTGATATTTAGTTTGAAAGACGGTTATATGTGTCTTTTACAAATGTACATATGCGGTTTCTGGAGGCAAATGAATAACGATATTAATTAGACGAAAATTATGTGAGTCTGTTTACTCTTTTTTTTTATATCAATTATTTGTTGTTTTTACCTTCAATCGCACATAATAATTAAAATTCGTAATAGCCAGAAAAATGAAAGACACAGTTATTAATGACGACATACATTTATGTTTCATGAAACCAAATATGATCTTTATTAATTTCTATGTATTAGTTCGTGCAATCTAGTTATAGACACCAGTCAAATTAATATATTTAATATACCGGACCTTTTGTAATGAGAAATAAGTTTGTTATTCATCGTTATTAAATATACGCGCTTGTAAATGAAAACTCGATAGAGTGAACTGATTGGTCCTGTACTGTCAACATAGATTTTAATTATGATTTTTATCATGAAATATGACTTTCGAAAGAAACCTAATATTCGCATTATAATTAATTACACTTATCTGGCAAAAAATAAACTTGTTTGTACGAACTATGTATCAATTTTTTTTTGAAGGATTTCAATTATATTATTTTCAAAAAATAAGAGAAAAGCATTTCAAAGCTCGTACAAATTTTTATGTTTCTTTTCATGAAAGTATTTCATATTAGAGCATGCATATATTGAACTCGATAAACTTCAAAAGACTTTAGATCATTTTTCGTATGAAATTCGGTAGAAAAATAACGAAGTAAACTTGTTTCTTTTTTTTTCATGGCGAAGCGTCAATTAGATATCAATCTTGTGTCTGAATTTAAGATGTGCGAAATCAAGGTTTTTTAGTGTCAATCTTGACTTTTAAAAAACTATTTCATCATTTATTCGCATTACATCGAAAAGATTGTTCAATATTCGTACCTGAATTCTCTTCTTTAATTGGCCTAAATTATAACATAATTCACTAAAAATCATAGAAAATTTAACTATTACTTTTAGTTCCGGTTCGAAAAATTGTTTTCCTCTTACGAGGGAAGTCATTCATGTGTTCGAATGCTTTTGAGTCTAGACTATGTATATTACGTAGATCCAAGTGAGCGAAGATTACCTTGAAAAGAGTTCGTATCCTTGGTTTATTACTACAGCTATACTGTACTGTTATCGTATGCTTTTAAATAAATGTTGTGGTAGCAGAAAAACTAATTTTCGATGTTCGACTTGAAATATTGCATAAATATAAGTCTTAACGAAAATAATTTCAGATATTTTAATTTCCTTGTATCCTTGAATCAAAATATTCAATCTGCTGATTTATATAAGTAATGTAAAAAAACACGCTATTATCATAGCTGTATCTTAGGATAGAAACAGCAACAAGATCTAAAGCAATCGCAAAAAAAACTATTCTTGTTAACGCTCATCTCTTTGCAAAGTTTCAAATAAAACACAATTTTTTTTTGTTCTCATTGCATTTATATAACGTAACGATGTAGTATCTTCGTCGTAATAAACTAGCTGTACGGACTCTTTTCAGGGTATTCAATAGCTCATTGAGATCGATACAATATACATAGACGATTGAATAGTTAGAAGACTTCTCTTGGTAATCCCAATTACCGGGACCAAAGCTGATCGCACACATCTTCAGTTAAAACTTGCAATCAACATTGAATTTCTGACAAATACGATTCAGAGATGAATTTGAAATGACTGATATATTGCAAATTTTTCTCAAGTTTAAATCTACTTCAATATTGTCTTATCATGACAACGAAACTTATTAAACTTCATATAATCAAACCAACTATTCATTTAAGATTTATGTATATTTAAATATCTCATAATTAAAAAAGGAATGTTTTCTGCATATATTCATACATATAATCTGAACATTAGCAAACATAAGAATGAATAATACAATAAAAGAAAAACAATTGAATAGTATACAACATCGAAAAAAAATCAAACGAAATGCAAAACAGACAAAAAAAAATATATTAGAATGAAGTTGATGATTTGTTAATTAATAAAGCCAGCATTGTAACAAGAAAAGCAATACCACTAATAGTTGAAAAAATATTCATTGCTAATGCACGTTTGGAAATTTTTAATGTTTGATCATAATTATGTGTACGTTTATGTTCACGTACACGTACAGATAATATAATACATATAATTCCAAAAATAAAAAAAAGAAAAAAATTTCCAATTGACCATAATAAATAATCTGGTATATTCAGAACATCACGTTCCTGTTGAGAATATTTTAAATTAGCATGTACAGCTTCGGATGCATAATAATCTGTATCATTTTGTGGTAACCATGAAAAACCATTTCGTTTTTCTAAATATGGTTCAAGTTCACCTATTTCACGTTTTTCCATTCGTCCAACACCACTATATATATAAACAAACGATTAAACAACATGTTTTTTTTAATCTTAAGAAAAAAATTCTTTGTACTTGTCACTTCGATAACCGGTCAATAATCGTCCGTCATGCATTTTTTTTTCTCTCTTCCTCCCGTTTTCGAAATTCAAGGTTAACAGTAACTAGTGATGCTGTGCGTAGATGGAAGGACGTGAATATGATTTATAGAAGTACGTCAATGTAACTCTGTTGGTGCAACTATATTCTTCTTGCGTTCGTTTTTCTTTTTTTTTTCTTTCTGTTTTTTTTTTTACAAGGTTGTCATTACGGCGGTACCATTACATTTGTTCGTCTCAAAAGTGTAATAAAGAAACAACATAAAAAAGGAACAAAGAAAAAAAAAAAAAAAGAAAAAAGAAAGATAGAATAATTTTGACACCAAAATAAAATCAATATGAAGCATTTTCTTTTTCTTTTCTTTTATCATTGACCTTGCAGGTGATGCTTTGAAAGAAGATCGTTTTTTTTCTGTTGTCTCTATTTTGAACCTTGACATTGAAGAAAAGAATATGTCAATCTTAGTACGTGTAATACAATCGAAATGTTTATTATAATTATATATCGATGTCATTTATTGTCTTTTTTTGAAAGGATAGAAACGTATTTGAATAGAGTATATTACTCTTATCAATTTAGAATTCAGAGAAATGATATATTTGGATTATTTAATAAGAAAAACTTCATCGAATTTATTTCGATAGAAATCGTGTTAATGTAAATCTCGTAAAAAAAAAGTTATTTAAGGAACTTTTATGACTTCGAATATGACAAGTGTCATAATAAAACGAATCTGATAATTGAAAATTTTATTCAGAGATCGAGATAGAAAGTCAGCATATAAAATTTCGTTTACAAATGTCGATTTAATCAGTTCACAAAAAAAAAACAAATACAAATCTCTTGGATTTAATGAGTAATACTTGTTAATTCTATTTCTATTTCAATGCAAAAAATTGCCCTACCGAGCAAATGAATGTGCTTTTTATGTTTTTTTCTCGATTTATGTCCTAATGAAAACGCTTTTTTAATAGGAAGTATAAGTCATGCTAAAAATATCTTTGTAATATATTACTACCTCAAAGGTTATTTAGACTAATAGACATCATCCAAGATCTATAAATAAGAACCAATTAAGTGCATCATTTTCTTTTAACTTTAATTAGAGTTTTTATATTCTTACTACTTTAACTAATTGCACTTTCATGATAGTGAATCCGAGTAATGTTGTAAACGTCGATTTTCTTCGAATTAACATGACAAATATTTATCAAATCAACTTAATTGAATATAGAAATGTTTATTATCAAACAACATTTGTATAAACATAAATAATAAAATACTAATATGAATAAATAATCAGTGATCGTAAAGATTTTAGACAAAATATTTGTTCAGTTTTGACGAGCAAGAAAGTATCAAAAAGGTATTAGTTAGGACGAGAAAATTGTATTCTTTTCAAATACACGTGTTTTTTGTCTTTTGACAAGACACCTCAATCTTCATAATGCTTATTTTTGAACGATCAACAACTATTTAACGTTGAAAGGAGCTCTTAAGAAAATGCTTGCAGTCTCACTTGAGTAAAAGCTACAGCGCTTAGTTCAATATCACATTTTTCTATAGAAATCTTCGCTCTACAAAACGGCTGAATCTGACAAATTTTATCATGTTCGAAAAGAGATTTGTAGGTTAAACAACCATCTATTTGCTTACTACTCTTGAATAAAAATGGACACATTATGTTGAAGTCGATATTCAAATTCTGGTCACAACCTATGGTTTTTGGTTCGTCTGAAAAGTAGTCTTTTGCCGAAGCATAAAGAAAAAGAGAACAAGTCAATGTGTGATGAAACACTTATATTCTTCATCATGCACCACTATTAAACATGACACAAAAAAATTTGATAATTGTTCAAAGGTATATACAATTAAACTACTCAATCATCTATGAAAATTTCTATCATTGTTCTGAAACATACTGCATATGAAAAATC